TCGCCCCACCCCCATCCGCCCCCACAAAGGACGAAAATCTGTTGCATCCACAATATTGCAGATTTGAGAAAACTAAAAACGCAGAATCATAGATAATGACCATATCTATTAGATTGCTGAATCTGGACCAGATCAGATAATTTTTATAGCCAAAAGGAACAAATCAATTTGCAGTGTCTACGCAGCGCCCGACGTCACGCTCAGACTGATTTTCTGTCTCTCTCGCACGCACTCTTTGTCGTGTCGTTAAATATTAGCGGCGTCTGCCGGAGGAGAGCCATACTGACTTAGTATCGGGTATAACTCTAGAGTTGCGGTGTCCGCAGCAACTCACAACGTTCCCCCTCGTTGGTTTTTAGTTTGTTTTACTGGTGCTGCTCTTTACTGAAGAACGTTGACTTGAGTACTCATAGCGACAGCTCGTTTTGCGTCGCAGCCGAGATGAAACCGAGAGCCGGGCTTATTACCGGCGCCACTATCAAGGTCAAGTGCTTAGAAGCGTACGTCCCGGTCCGCTCAGATAAGAGAGTGGAGTGAAGTAGAGTGCTCAAAGTAGAGTTATAGACTATGTAGCATACTATGTGGGCATGGATACGTAAACGAAGAAGATCACCGGTCAGATCTTTGTCGGCTGCGGTATCGCTCATTGGCGAGAACGCCCACCCTACCATGATCCTTCAGGGCCACCTATTAACAGTCAGGATCCCTTCAAATAAGCCTGCTATTCGATATTGTCTTACATTTATAGGGTATTACTATACAGCATATACTGGGGAAGGAATATCATAAGGGCGAGGTAGGGTATAATGATCTTAAATCTATAAAACTGATTAGTAGTAGGTATATATAAATGCACGAGCATGTATAAAACCGTGATTATGGTTGAAGACCAACGAATAGTTACCGCACATTCATTCTTTTCAGATGGGGGTTAAATCGGTGGTACTGGCACGTGTCCGGGAATAACCAATCCGTAACTTCTAGACCAGCGTTGTAATACGTAGATACTAGAGGTGCTAATCCTACGTGGAAAGAACAGGAATTTTTCAACGGGTCTCTGTAGCTGGGTGGATAATTACCTCAACAGAATTACACCACTGATCGAAAAATTTTACTGAACTGTGGGCGTTCGTTCTCCAAATGGTCGAACGGCTGCCCCAGTATTGACGATATATAACTGGCGCGTCCACTCAAATTAAATGATCACTTTGAGCCGCACTTGGCACTTGCACTAGGCTCTGACTTTGGCTTGACCTTGGTTTAGAGAACTGGGTCAGCTCTACAAGACTTCTTTTTCCACGGCCGGTCACTCTGACGGTCACGAGGAGAGAAATAAAGAGGCTGGGACTACTAAAAACAGCAACCCACGTTTTCCCACACTTTCTATGGTCTTCTTCTTTTATACAGGATCCAGACACAGCAATATTTAATAAAATATAGTGCACGGCAGAAAAATTGGATATCAAAGCGTTGCCGCTTGGTCGCAAAACAGCTGTTGATAAGCTTTATCAATGCTCACAAGATCTTCAACTCGAATTTTTTTACGGCCTAGTTTTAGGCTATAATTTTGGGAGTTAGCCGTGGATAATTAAAATACAAGAAGACACGGTAAGCGTCGAATATTACAACCCCGCTGAAATCACAGTTTGGGGTCTTGCTAACCAAAGCGTGATCCACACTTGGAGTGCTGGATACGATTTATTGTTTAATATCATTTGCGTGATATTTACCAATAAAGCGACCCTGGAAATCTTTTCTTAATGCGGGCTTTCCGAAACGTAGGTGCCAGTTTCGCATTAATGCCTTTCACAAAACTACTCTGGTCAAAATTTCGTCTATACACTTCTTGACCCACTTGAAAGTTTACTTCTCGGCTTCGAAGATTATAGATATTTTCATTGCGAACATGCTGCTGTTTCATTGCTTCTGCAGCGGTCTTGCGAATTAGCTCGAAGGTATCGTCGCGATCGAAGACTACTGTTCGGTCCTCCAACATACTGAGGTTTCGTAGGAGTTGATAAGTGGAACCGCCAGTAATCATGTTTTGGCCAAAAGCAACAGGATATGGGCTACTTTTGATGGCTGCATGCACACTGGATTGATCGGGCTTAATGTACGCTTTGATAGCAGCGAGTACCGAGCGATTTACCCGCTCTGAGGCATTGGTTTGGGGAGCGTAGGCGGCGGTGTACGAATGTCGAATTTGGTATTTCGCTAACAGATCCTTGAACTTGTGTGACTTGAATTGAACGCCGTTATCTGACACTATCACTTCCAGGACTCCAAAGCAATTAAACAGGTCTTCCTCCATGAACCCAGTTACGAAAGGAAATTTAGAAAATGATCGAGTACTACAAAAATGCCTATATTCCCGGATCGACTTCGGGGGTACGGACCTAGAAAATCGACGTAAAGTTTTTGAAATAGACGAAAGGTCTCCCCTGCTTTGCTCACTGACGGACGTAGAGGATGATTGGGGTGCTCGGTCGTTCCTATTCGAGGAAGTCGGTCAGCTGTACTCTTCGTCGCCCAAAAAAAGCATAACATCTAATTCGTTAATTTGCTTCCTGTTTTGCTACTCAAAAAAAATTCGCTTCAGCAGCGATCAAATACAAAACGAGGGGGAACGTTGTGAGTTGCTGCGGACACCGCAACTCTACAGTTATACCCGATACTAAGTCAGTATGGCTCTCCTCCGGCAGACGCCGCTAATATTAATCGACACGACAAAGAGTGCGTGCGAGAGAGACAGAAAATCAGTCTGAGCGTGACGTCGGGCGCTGCGTAGCCACTGCAAATTGATTTGTTCCTTTTGGCTATAAAAATGATCTGATCTGATCCAGATTCAGCAACCTGATAGATATGGTCATTATTTATGATTCTGCGTTTTTAGTTTTCTCGAATGTGCAATATTGTTGATGCAACAGATTTTCGTCCTTTGTGTGGGCGGAAGGGGGTGGGGCGAAATTTTGAGATATACGTTTTATAGTGAGATGTAACAGGAGTGCGGATACTAAATTTGGTTACTCTAGCCATAATGGTCTCTGAGATTTGTGAATATCCCCAGATTTGCATCCTTTGCGGGGGCGGAAGGGGGTGTGTCGAAATTTTGAAACAAACTCGTCTCGGTCTGATATATTAGGAGTGTGGATACCAAATTTGGTTGCTCTAGCTTTTATAGTCTCTGAGATCTAGGCGCTAATGTTTTACTCTAAGCAAAGCCGCCTATGCTACGTGTGTGTTAGAGTGAGACAGAGCGAGAAAGAGTGATATTGTTTTCGTGATTCTGGCTGTAATAATTATACGATCTGGTTCAGATTTTGCACTCTAGAAGATATAGTCATCTTCTACGATTCTGCTTTTTTAGTTTTCTCGTATCGTCGAAATTGTGGATGCCACAGATTTTCGCCCTTTGTGGGGGCCGAAGTGGGCGGGGCAAAGTTTTGAAATATTTTTGGAGCAGTGACATATCACAGAAGTCTGGATCCAAAACATCGTTGCTCTAGCTCTTATAGTCTTTGAGCATTAGGCGCTGAAGGGGACGGACAGACGGACGGACGGACAGACGGACAGACGGACAGACAGACATGCCTCAATCGACTCGGCTATTGATGCTGATCAAGAATATATATACTTTATGGGGTCGGAAACGATTCCTTCTGGACGTTACACACATCCACTTTTACCACAAATCTAATATACCCCAATACTCATTTTGAGTATCGGGTATAAAAATAGCCAAGATTGCTTTGACTGATTGTGGTTTTACTGTAACTCTGCTTTCAGGTGTGCATGTGGGCTCGCGTGCCTCGTGAGGAGCCCACCAAGCCAGTTGAGGCTCAGCTCAACGACCTGCTGGCAAAGGTCAAGGAATTTTTCAACGAGGATAGCGTTAAGGTAAGTCTAGCCGACACTAGCCGACCTTAACAGACCAGACAAAAACGTATGCCTAATTTACTCGATTGCTTCTGCACGACTTCCATGATAAGGCCAACGCTGCTGCTGAAGAAGGTCTTGATGTGAACGAGAAGATCCAGAAGGCGCCCAAACCCTAAAAATGCAGCTCTAAAGCAACGAATTTAAAAATCAAATCAAAAGATGTGCCCAATAAAGGTTTAAACCACAATTTAAAGGTTTTTAGCGTCAGCTCAATAATGCAAAAACATCCACAAACGGAGCTGGATCCGGGTCATGGCAAATAGCCGGTACAGGGCCTGAGGTCCCGCCAAGGGAAGCTCCTGGCGCTTTGCGCACTTGCCGGTTGAATCGAAAATATGGCGGTAGATACGCGGGCGTATGTCGTGCAGCTGCTTGGCGCTGCAGACACTCTGCGGCATCTGGATCAAATGGTCAACCATGAGGGACACTCGTGGGGTAGTCGAAAGCAATAGCTGGCCGCTGACGGTGATTTTTTCCCCAGCTCTTTTCAGACGTAGACGTCACCCAATCCTCCTCAAAGGCACGAATCGTCTGTGGGGATCGGGATAAGAGATCATCAGAGGTATGCTGCAGACGAGTTCTGGTTCTCCAAAACCTTACCTCAGACTCGAGGGTCCGTGGGTGTAAACCCTCTGAGCGGTGTATCCACTTCATTCTCAAGGTGAAAAATTCCACCCGGCTAGCACTCAGCACCCGATGGAGCTGCAACACGGGCTTTTGGGCCTCAAGCTCCCTGTCTTCGACATGCAGCAGAATATCTAGGATCTCCTTTACCTGCTTCTGGGGAAACCCACAGTCGGAATCATGTGAGACGCTGTCCTTGTAGGAGCCCTTCCAAGAACAGCCCACGCAGTGGTACTTCCAGCAAACCACACGCCCCTCACAAACGAACTCCAAGTGTCTGGAGAGATCTTTCATATCTGAGAACTGGTCATTGCAGCTGAGGCAGCTGATGGGCTCCCAAAGCTCCCAGAGCGTCTGGCGCACCACTAGATTCTGCTCCTGATCGTAGTTTCTAATGAGCGATCGACAACTGGGGCAGCAGGCACGCGTTGTGGAACCTCGCGGCACACAACGCACACCAGTATGTTATGCAGTCGCTCACGAAGATCGGAGACGCCACCACCCGAGGACCCGCCGACCTCACCCTCACTGCTGTCCATAGTAGTCGAAATCTCATTCAAAGTACTTTCATCTTTACTTGCAACATCTGACAATCGCTGCCTCTTGGCGGCTGGGGGCTGCTCGTTGTTGTTGTCATTGGGGTTGGCATTCGACATTCTGAAGGGTATTTCGGCCAGCAGCCTCGGCCTGGCTTTACAGTATGTGTGCGTGCTTTATTCAACAATTCTGATTGCCTGTGTGTGGGCGGAAGGGGGTGTGGCGAAATTTTGACGCAAAACGGTCAAGGTCCGATATCACAGGAGTGTGGATACCAAATTAGGTTGCTCTAGCTTTTATAGTCTCTGAGATCTAGGCGCTAATGTTTTACTCTAAGAAAAGCCGCCTGGCTATAATAATAATACGATCCAATTCAGATTCTGGAGTCTAAAAGATATGGTCATTCTCTACGATTCTGCGTTTTTGGTTTTCTCGTATCTTTTAAATTGTGGATGCCACAGATTTTCGTCCTTTGAGGGGGCGGAAGTGGGCGGGGCAAAGTTTTGAAATATTTTTGTAGGAGTGACATATCACAGAAGTCTGGATCCAAAACATCGTTGCTCTAGCTCTTATAGTCTTTGAGCATTAGGCGCTGAAGGGGACGGACAGACGGACGGACGGACAGACGGACAGACAGACATGCCTCAATCGACTCGGCTATTGATGCTGATCAAGAATATATATACTTTATGGGGTCGGAAACGATTCCTTCTGGACGTTACACACATCCACTTTTACCACAAATCTAATATACCCCAATACTCATTTTGAGTATCGGGTATAACGAGGGGGAACGTTGTGAAACGCCGCTAATATTAAACTACACGACAAAGAGTGCGTGCGAGAGAGACAGAAAATCAGTCCGAGCGTGACGTCGGGCGCTGCGTAGCCACTGCAAATTGATTTGTTCCTTTTGGCTACAAAAATGATCTGATATGATCCAGATTCAGCAATCTGATAGATATGGTCGTTATCTATGATTCCCCGTTTTTAGTTTTCTCGAATCTGCAATATTGTGGATGCAACAGATTTTCGTCCTTTGTGTGGGCGGAAGGGGGTGGGGCGAAATTCTGAGATATACGAATTATAGTGACATCTTAAAGGAGGGTGTGTACCAAATTTGGTTACTCTAGCTTTAATAGTCTCTGAGATTTGTGAATATCCCCAGATTTGCATCCTTTGCGGGGGCGGAAGGGGGTGTGGCGAAATTTTGAAACAAACTCGTCTCGGTCCGATATATTAGGAGTGTGGACACCAAATTTGGTTGCTCTAGCTTTTATAGTCTCTGAGATCTAGGCGCTAATGTTTTACTCTAAGAAAAGCCGCCTGGCTATAATAATAATACGATCCAATTCAGATTCTGCAGTCTAAAAGATATGGTCATTATCTACGATTCTGCGTTTTTGGTTTTATCGTATCTTTAAAAATGTGGATGCCACAGATTTTCGTCCTTTGTGGGGACGGAAGTGGGCGGGGCAAAGTTTTGAAATATTTTTGTAGCAGTGACATATCACAGAAGTCTGGATCCAAAACATCGTTGCTCTAGCTCTTATAGTCTTTGAGCATTAGGCGCTGAAGGGGACGGACAGACGGACAGACGGACGGACGGACGGACAGACAGACAGGGCTCAATCGACTCGGCTATTGATGCTGATCAAGAATATATAATATATGGACGTTGACATGCAAAGACTGCATCTATCAAGAGGCGATGCAATTACTGCACCGTCAAGTGGCCCGTGTGACACCAGCAGAAGGCTGTTACGCGCGGATCCCAGGCAAAACGCAGCCCTCCTCCCGCCCAACCGACCGAGGGGCGCTGCCGCATGACGCGCGGTGCGTAGCCGAACCAAACGCGAGCATGCAAGAAAGATAGATATTAGACTAACATTCGAGGAAAATTAGCACTGAACTTATTAAGAAATTAAGCATGCAATAAAATACAAAATACAAATACCACTACAATTACTAATTACTAGAAAGGTGTGTAAGGATTAGTAATTTAATAAGAGGAAGAGAATTAGTGGAGGATATAATATGTTAGAGGGAATTATAATCCGAGCATAAGACCCTAAACGGTTCATGCAAGGAATAATTCGATCTACAAAGTGGAAGGAACAACGGTATAAAGTTTCTAGTCAGTCTAATAGGAATCGTGAAGTTTATGCGGCTCAATAGATCAGGGCTGTCTGTGTCACCCCTGATCAAGTTGTGCATAAATATCACACCAAGCATTTTTCTACGGTTAACTAAGGATGGGAGGTTTACTAATAATAGTCTACTAGAGTAAGATGGGAGTCTTACACCCGCATCCCAGTTAAGGCCCCGCAGAGCAAAGAGTAAAAAGTTTTTCTGTACTGATTCTATACGGTCCTGGTGTACTTTGTACTGAGGGCACCATACACAGGAGCCGTATTCTAAGATCGGACGAACCGAAAGCGAGGTATAGAGAGTCTTTGTTATATATGGGCACGCCCATGGCCTTATTTACCATGGTAGAAATGTGTTCGGAAAACTTTAACTTGGGGTCTAACATAACACCCAGATCATCCACCAGGGTAATTCTCTCAAGAGAACCCCCAAATAGGGTGTAGGGAGCCAACAAAGGGTTAGAACGATGAAATGTCATAACTTTGCATTTCGAGGCATTAAGGTGTAACAAGTTTGCACAACACCATGACTGAAAGCTATTGAGATCGGATTGCAAGCGAGAATGAAATGAAATGTCCTTGTACTGGACACAGAGTTTAACATCATACTCGAGAGTATGTTAATACTGAAGGCAAGTCATTAATAAAGAGTGTGAAGAGTAAGGGGCCTAGATGGCTGCCCTGTGGTACTCCCGAAGAAACCTTTACTGGTAAAGAGAGGGAGTTTTTGAAGAGGACTCTTTGAGACCTAGAACAAAGATAGCTAGAAATCCATCTCAGGAGGTTGGGCGGAAACCCTAAAAGGTCAAGTTTATGTGCTAAAAGGGAATGGTTTACAGAGTCGAATGCTTTACTAAAGTCGGTGTAAATAACATCCGTCTGTAAGTTACCTTGAAAGCCTTTAATAATGAAAGAGGTAAACTCTAACAAGTTCGTGGTGGTTGATCGCCGCCTTATAAATCCATGCTGAGTTGGAGATATAAGTGACTTGCAGAGATGTTGCAAGTGCGGAGTTAAAACCTTCTCAAACAATTTGGGAATAGCGGATAACTTTGCTATACCTCTATAATTTTTTGCATCAGACTTGCTACCTTTTTTATGGAGAGGAATTATAAACGATTCCTTCCAGATTGGGGGGAAGCAAGAGGAATCAATGGACAGGGTGAATAGTTTAAGCAATGGTCCACACAGAGCCTCGGCGCAGTACCTGAGTACACAACCTGGAACCCCGTCTGGACCCGGTGAAAACACCGGCTTAACTAGTCGAAGATCTTGAAGTAGGGAATATTCATTTAACAAGGGACTGAAAATGCCGTTCGACCTCGGTAATCCGAATGGGTACGGTTGACCAGAGTAGCGTTCCTCAGAATAGGTGGTTTGGAAAAACTGGGCAAAAAGATCGGCAATTGCCTGATCATTATTTGCCGACGTATTACAAAATGATAGCGAGGATGGGTGTGCGGACGTTCTACGCTTACTGTTTACGAAGCAGTAAAACTGTTTAGGGTCGTGAGAAAAACGTATCCTGCAACGAGATAGGTAGTTCTTATAGCATTGAGCATTAAGAACTGAAAAGTTTGACCGAGCTATTACATAACGAGAGTGAGAAGTAGGAGAACCCACTTCTTGAAATTTTTTATAAAGTCTTGATTTTAAGTTTTTTAGACTGGATAACTCTTTGGTAAACCAAGGGGGTTTTCCAGATCTAATCGGATAATCGGACAAGAAAGCGGGACACAAGAATCAAAAAATGTGCCAAGAGCATTGTAAAAAATGTTTGTGCCTTTTGTGACATCAGTGCACAAGTACAAAGCGGACCAATCAAAATCCCTAATTAGGTTATTAAGCTTCGCAAACTCGGCTTTACGAAAGCAGCGGACACGTTCAGGTAGTCTACTCGACCGATCCAATACAGTTGGTCCTATGTCTAGCGACACCTCGAAAGTAGGGTGGTAGGCGTCTTCAGGTATAGTGAGCGGAAGGGCTCGGGTTAACAACACTATGGTCGGATCCGATACAAAGCATAGATCAAGCAATCGACCCAAGGAATTTTTCACATGATTGACTTGAGACAGGGACAGGTCAAGCAAGCCGTCAACAAAGTCATGTCGTGACATGGGCACTAGGATACTAGACTCGTTTACCGAAGACCAAACAGTTCCTGGCAAGTTGAAGTCACCAAGAACTATCATACGATCTTTATCAGATAGCGAGGAAGCAACAGCGGTTAAAGCGGACAAGTGCTGCTCATAAATTGAAATATCCGAAGAAGGTGGGATATACGAGCAAGTAATGAATATAGCGAAAGCGGGAAGAATCAGTTTTACACACAGGAATTCCAGTTCCTGTTGAACTTGGACTGTGAAGTGTTCTGACGTGAAGTAAGAGTCCACTGCAATTAGAACCCCTCCTGCACGTCGAGACGAACGGTCCTTTCTAAAAGTTGTGTACCGACCTGCCAAAACCTCGGAACTAAGAATGTCCGGCTTTAACCAGGTTTCAGTAAACACAATAACGTGGGAAGCAAATGCAACACTATCCCGGAAAAGAATGCTGAGCTTACTACGCAAGCCTCTTACATTCTGATAGGTTACTAAAAGAGAAGTTAGTTTTTTGGAAAGGTTGGAGCAAGACGGGAAGTTGAGGAAGAGGAAGTTGAGGTTGAGGGTGGCACGCTGGAAAGATTTGGAAGCGATATAGGGGGCCTATTCTTCTTCTTAGCCTTAAACTCCTTCACCACCAAATGCTCCGGCCAAAATTTGGTGGAGCAAATGGTGTCAAATTGAGTTGGGGAGATGCTTATCTTAAACGACGCTATCTCCCTGGCATAAGAGAAGTTAAATTTCTCCACCTTTAAACCCACGGCTTTTATTTTGCTTTGAATGAAAGCAGTTACATCATTAGATGTGAGGTCAGGGGCCAGCCGTGAAACAAAAACTTGTCGTTTTGGTGGGACTCCCACCAGTGGTTTAGTCACCACAGGTCTAGTACCTGTGGTGACAATATCCGGAGGTCCGGAACGCCTATTTACTGGTGGGATCGGGATAGACGGGACAACTAGTGAACTTGCGGACAGCACGGACACGGACGCTGCAGACGTACTTGGCTGCACATTCTCCGAGGCGATGAATTCGGCTACCGAATCTGCATCGCCAGCAGCTTTCGTTGCCTTTGGAGTGGCAAACGAGATCAACTGCTGCACACTTGGAGTGGTCGGAGTCAGTTTTTCGGCGGCGCACGGCTGAGTGACGGTTGGCACTTGCAGGTCCCGCGGAGTGACCTTTTTGCGCCTCGGAGACTCATTCAGCAGTCTTAAACCGCTAAACTGAGCCTCCATGGCTAGGAGCCGATCGTATTGGTTTTTGAAACCAACGGTCAGCTCCTTAAAGCCACTCCGCGTCTGCCTCATGAAAGCCACCATGTCTTTCTCCACCGCACGGCATGCCTCGCAACTGTAATGCAAGCCATTACGTTTGGCTATAGCATCACTCACGAGGCCAGAAAATCCCGCGCATTTTGCGTGGACTACGCTGTCGCAGAGCCAGCAGGGGACATTCGGCTGATCTTGAGTGATCTGCTTCTTGCAGGTTTTTTTGGCGCAGACCACAGCGAATTCCATTTTTATTTTTATTATTTTTATTATTTAAATATTTTCTTAAGAAAATTTGCAAAGAAAAATTAAAATCAAAAAAATTAAAAATTTCCAAAACAAATTGGTATCAGACCAATATGCCAGACAACGCTCAAAGCGGAATTGGTAAGAAAAAAAAAAAGAGAGCAGAGTGGAGAGCGGTTATAGCGAGAGCTACTAGACAGAGAGCGCTATTGCTCAGAAAGTTGAAAGAGCGAGAGAGAAAGAACAGTTATTGAGGTTGAGGTGATAGCGAGAGAGCGATAAGACAACAAAAGCTACCAGACGAGAGCGGACTGCAATGCAATACTCACTCACTGCAACAACACAACACAAGCCGACGCCGAAAAATAAAAAGTTAAATAATATTTTAACACAAATCAAAAGGCATGCACTCGCGTAAAAGAATTGGTTTCCAGATTGTTGTCTGGTTAGGGAGTATAATTAGAATTTAGTTAGGAAAACTCCGGCTGTTTATTTGAAACAAAAGGAAAAAATGCGGAGCGCAAAACAAAAACACGTCTGATCACTACGAAAGAGAACGGATGTGGTCGGAAACGATTCCTTCTGGACGTTACACACATCCACTTTTACCACAAATCTAATATACCCCAATACTCATTTTGAGTATCGGGTATAAAAATAGCCAAGATTGCTTTGACTGATTGTGGTTTTACTGTAACTCTGCTTTCAGGTGTGCATGTGTGCTCCCGTGCCTCGTGAGGAGCCCACCAAGCCAGTTGAGGCTCAGCTCAACGACCTGCTGGCAAAGGTCAAGGAATTTTTCAACGAGGATAGCGTTAAGGTAAGTCTAGCCGACACTAGCCGACCTTAACAGACCAGACAAAAAGGTATGCCTAATTTACTCGATTGCTTCTGCACGACTTCCATGATAAGGCCAACGCTGCTGCTGAAGAAGGTCTTGCTGTGAACGAGCAGATCCAGAAGGCGCCCAAACCCTAAAAATGCAGCTCTAAAGCAACGAATTTAAAAATCAAATCAAAAGATGTGCCCAATAAAGGTTTAAACCACAATTTAAAGGTTTTTAGCGTCAGCTCAATAATGCAAAAACATCCACAAACGGAGCTGGATCCGGGTCATGGCAAATAGCCGGTACAGGGCCTGAGGTCCCGCCAAGGGAAGCTCCTGGCGCTTTGCGCACTTGCCGGTTGAATCGAAAATATGGCGGTAGATACGCGGGCGTATGTCGTGCAGCTGCTTGGCGCTGCAGACACTCTGCGGCATCTGGAACAAATGGTCAACCATGAGGGACACTCGTGGGGTAGTCGAAAGCAATAGCTGGCCGCTGACGGTGATTTTTTCCCCAGCTCTTTTCAGACGTAGACGCAGCACCCAATCCTCCTCAAAGGCACGAATCGTCTGTGGGGATCGGGATAAGAGATCATCAGAGGTATGCTGCAGACGAGTTCTGGTTCTCCAAAACCTTACCTCAGACTCGAGGGTCCGTGGGTGTAAACCCTCTGAGCGGTGTATCCACTTCATTCTCAAGGTGAAAAATTCCACCCGGCTAGCACTCAGCACCCGATGGAGCTGCAACACGGGCTTTTGGGCCTCAAGCTCCCTGTCCTCGACATGCAGCATATCTAGGATCTCCTTTCCCTGCTTCTGGGGAAACCCACAGTCGGAATCATGTGAGACGCTGTCCTTGTAGGGGCCCTTCCAAGAACAGCCCACGCAGTGGTACTTGCAGCAAACCACACGCCCCTCACAAACGAACTCCAAGTGTCTGGAGAGATCTTTCCTATCTGAGAACTGGTCATTGCAGCTGGGGCAGCTGATGGGTAGCTCCCAGAGGGTCTGGCGCACCACTAGATTCTGCTCCTGATCGTAGTTTCTAATGAGCGATCGACAACTTGGGCAGCAGGCACGCGTTTTATTGAAGATGGCAACAGCCAGAACGGCGGTCTTGCAATCCTCACACATGATATGCCCATGGCTGCACTGATAGAAGTCGTGTGGTTGTGGAACCTCGCGGCACACAACGCACACCAGTATGTTATGCAGTCGCTCACGAAGATCGGAGACGCCACCACCCGAGGACCCGCCGACCTCACCCTCACTGCTGTCCATAGTAGTCGAAATCTCATTCAAAGTACTTTCATCTTTACTTGCAACATCTGACAATCGCTGCCTCTTGGCGGCTGGGGGCTGCTCGTTGTTGTTGTCATTGGGGTTGGCATTCGACATTCTGAAGGGTATTTCGGCCAGCAGCCACGGCCTGGCTTTACAGTATGTGTGCGTGCTTTATTCAAAAATTCTGATTGCCTGTTGTTGCAGAGTGAACTGATACTCTGGTGTAAAGTACGAGCACAAGGTTACGAGTTTTCCAAGGCCAAGCTGGTTCCCTGAAAATTACAAATTTAACGAGGGGGAACGTTGTGAGTTGCTGCGGACACCGCAACTCTACAGTTATACCCGATACTAAGTCAGTATAGCTCTATTCCGGCAGACGGCGCTAATATTAAACGAAACGACAAAGAGTGTGTGCGAGAGAGACAGAAAATCAGTCTGAGCGTGAAGTCGGCCGCTGCGTAGCCACTGAAAATTGTTTTTTTCCTTTTCGGCTATACAAATTATCCGATCTGATCAAAATTCAGCAATCTGATAGATATGATTATTATCTATGATTCTGCGTTTTTAGTTTTCTTGTATCCTCAATATTATGGATGCCACAGTTTTTCGTCCTTTGTGGAGGCGGAAGGGGGTGGGGCGAAATTCTGAGATATACGTTTTATAGTGAGATCTAGCAGAAGTGCGGATACCAAATTTTGTTATTCTAGCCTTAATAGTCTCTGAGATTTGTGAATATCCCCAGATTTGCATCCTTTGCGGGGGCGGAAGGGGGTGCGGCGAAATTTTGACACAAAACGGTCAAGGTCCGATATCACAGGAGTGTGGATACCAAATTTGGTTGCACTAGCTTTTATGGGTTCTGAGATCCTTGAACTCATATTTTGCAATTGGCAAAACCGACCATGAAACCTGTGTGTTAGAGTGAGACAGAGAGAGAAGGAGTGAAATTGTTTTCGTGATTCTGGCTATAATAATTATACAATCTGGTTCAGATTTTGCACTCTAGAAGATATAGTCATCTTCTACGATTCTGCGTTTTTTGTTTTCTTGTATCTTTCAAATTGTGGATGCCACAGTTTTTCGCCCTTTGTGGGGGCGGAAGTCGGCGGTGCAAAGTTTTGAAATATTTTTGTAGCAGTGACATATCACAGAAGTCTGGATCCAAAACATCGTTGCTCTAGCTCTTATAGTCTTTGAGCATTAGGCGCTGAAGGGGACGGACAGACGGACAGACGGACGGACGGACAGACGGACAGACGGACGGACGGACAGACGGACAGACAGACATGGCTCAATCGACTCGGCTAATGATGCTGATCAAGAATATATATACTTTATGGGGTCGGAAACGATTCCTTCTGGACGTTACACACATCCATTTTCACCACAAATCTAATATACCCCAATACTCATTTTGAGTATCGGGTATAAAAACAGAGGATAAACACAGAGAAAAACGGCATAGTAGGCCCCCATGAATAGTTTAGTTTAATAGAATGCACTTTGATCTACACATAAATGTACTCAAAAATATTTGTAATGCGGCCCAAGGCGTTCAATGGGTCTGGGGGGGTGGTGTCTCGGTGGACAGGTGTGGTGAAAAGTAACCTCTTTGACCGCCAAAGTGCTCTGCTATCGCAAACAAGATTACGGTGCCTATTAGTCCATGCTTCATGTAGTACATGTCAAATAGATATGTTGCTGACATGTTTTTTTATACCCGATACTCAAAATGAGTATTGGGGTATATTAGATTTGTGGTAAAAGTGGATGTGTGTAACGTCCAGAAGGAATCGTTTCCGAACCCATAAAGTATATATATTCTTGATCCTGTCTGTCTGTCTGTCTGTCCGTCTGTCCGTCCGTCCTTCTGTCCGTCCCCTTCAGCGCCTAGTGCTCAAAGACTATTAGAGCTAGAGCAACGATGTTTTGGATACAGACTTCTGTGATATGTCACTGCTACAAAAATATTTCAAAACTTTGCCCCGCCCACTTCCGTCCCCACAAAGGACGAAAATCTGTGGCATCCACATTTTTAAAGATACGATAAAACCAAAAACGCAGAATCGTAGAGAATGACCATATCTTTTAGACTGCAGAATCTGAATTGGATCGTATTATTATTATAGCCAGGCGGCTTTTCTTAGAGTAAAACATTAGCGCCTAGATCTCAGAGACTATAAAAGCTAGAGCAACCAAATTTGGTGTCCACACTCCTAATATATCGGACCGAGACGAGTTTGTTTCAAAATTTCGCCACACCCCCTTCCGCCCCCGCAAAGGATGCAAATCTGGGGATATTCACAAATATCAGAGACTATTAAGGCTAGAGTAACCAAATTTAGTATCCGCACTCCTGTTAGATGTCACTATAAAACGTATATCTGAAAATTTCGCCCCACCCCCTTCCGCCCACACACAGGCAATCAGAATTGTTGAATAAAGCACGAACACATACTGTAAAGCCAGGCCGAGGCTGCTGGCCGAAATACCCTTCAGAATGTCGAATGCCAACCCCAATGACAACAACAACGAGCAGCCCCCAGCCGCCAAGAGGCAGCGATTGTCAGATGTTGCAAGTAAAGATGAAAGTACTTTGAATGAGATTTCGACTACTATGGACAGCAGTGAGGGTGAGGTCGGCGGGTCCTCGGGTGGTGGCGTCTCCGATCTTCGTGAGCGACTGCATAACATACTGGTGTGCGTTGTGTGCCGCGAGGTTCCACAACCACACGACTTCTATCAGTGCAGCCATGGGCATATCATGTGTGAGGACTGCAAGACCGCCGTTCTGGCTGTTGCCATCTTCAATAAAACGCGTGCCTGCTGCCCCAGTTGTCGATCGCTCATTAGAAACTACGATCAGGAGCAGAATCTAGTGGTGCGCCAGACCCTCTGGGAGCTACCCATCAGCTGCCCCAGCTGCAATGACCAGTTCTCAGATAGGAAAGATCTCTCCAGACACTTGGAGTTCGTTTGTGAGGGGCGTGTGGTTTGCTGGAAGTACCACTGCGTGGGCTGTTCTTGGAAGGGCTCCTACAAGGACAGCGTCTCACATGATTCCGACTGTGGGTTTCCCCAGAAGCAGGGAAAGGAGATCCTAGATATTCTGCTGCATGTCGAAGACAGGGAGCTTGAGGCCCAAAAGCCCGTGTTGCAGCTCCATCGGGTGCTGAGTGCTAGCCGGGTGGAATTTTTCACCTTGAGAATGAAGTGGATACACCGCTCAGAGGGTTTACACCCACGGACCCTCGAGTCTGAGGTAAGGTTTTTGAGAACCAGAACTCGTCTGCAGCATACCTCTGATGATCTCTTATCCCGATCCCCACAGACGATTCGTTCCTTTGAGGAGGATTGGGTGCTGCGTCTACGTCTGAAAAGAGCTGGGGAAAAAATCACCGTCAGCGGCCAGCTATTGCTTTCGACTACCCCACGAGTGTCCCTCATGGTTGACCATTTGATCCAGATGCCGCAGAGTGTCTGCAGCGCCAAGCAGCTGCACGACATACGCCCGCGTATCTACCGCCATATTTTCGATTCAACCGGCAAGTGCGCAAAGCGCCAGGAGCTTCCCTTGGCGGGACCTCAGGCCCTGTACCGGCTATTTGCCATGACCCGGATCCAGCTCCGTTTGTGGATGTTTTTGCATTATTGAGCTGACGCTAAAAACCTTTAAATTGTGGTTTAAACCTTTATTGGGCACATCTTTTGATTTGATTTTTAAATTCGTTGCTTTAGAGCTGCATTTTTAGGGCTTGGGCGCCTTCTGGATCTGCTCGTTCACAGCAAGACCTTCTTCAGCAGCAGCGTTGGCCTTATCATGGAAGTCGTGCAGAAGCAATCGAGTAAATTAGGCATACGTTTTTGTCTGGTCTGTTAAGGTCGGCTAGTGTCGGCTAGACTTACCTTAACGCTATCCTCGTTGAAAAATTCCTTGACCTTTGCCAGCAGGTCGTTGAGCTGAGCCTCAACTGGCTTGGTGGGCTCCTCACGAGGCACGCGAGCACACATGCACACCTGAAAGCAGAGTTACAGTAAAACCACAATCAGTCAAAGCAATCTTGGCTATTTTTATACCCGATACTCAAAATGAGTATTGGGGTATATTAGATTTGTGGTAAAAGTGGATGTGTGTAACGTCCAGAAGGAATCGTTTCCGACCCCATAAAGTATATATATTCTTGATCAGCATCAATAGCCGAGTCGATTGAGCCATGTCTGTCTGTCCGTCCGTCCGTCTGTCCGTCTGTCCGTCCCCTTCAGCGCCTAATGCTCAAAGACTATAAGAGCTAGAGCAACGATGTTTTGGATCCAGACTTCTGTGATATGTCACTGCTCCAAAAATATTTCAAAACTTTGCCCCGCCCATACACAATTTTAAAGATACGAGAAAACAAAAAACGCAGAATCGTAGAGAATGACCATATCTATTAGACTGCAGAATCTGAATTGGATCGTATTATTATTATAGCCAGCATCAAGAAAACAATTTCATTTTTTCTCGCCCTGTCTCTCTCTAACACACACGTAGCATAGGCGGCTTTGCTTAGAGTAAAACATTAGCACCTAGATCTCAGAGACTATAAAAGCTAGAGCAACCAAATTTGGTATCCACACTCCTAATATATCAGACCGAGACGAGTTTGTTTCAAAATGATGCAAATCTGGGGATATTCACAAATCTCAGAGACTATTATGGCTAGAGTAACCAAATTTAGTATCCGCACTCCTGTTAGATCTCGCTATAAAACGTATATCTCAAAATTTCGCCCCACCCCCTTCCGCCCACACAAAGGACGAAAATCTGTTGCATCAACAATATTGCACATTCGAGAAAACTAAAAACGCAGAATCATAAATAATGAGCATATCTATCAGGTTGCTGAATCTGGATCAGATCAGATCATTTTTATAGCCAAAAGGAACAAATCAATTTGCAGTGGCTACGCAGCGCCCGACGTCACGCTCAGACTGATTTTCTGTCTCTCTCGCACGCACTCTTTGTCGTGTCGATTAATATTAGCGGCGTCTGCTGGAGGAGAGCCATACTGACTTAGTATCGGGTATAACCGTAGAGTTGCGGTGTCCGCAGCAACTCACAACGTTCCCCCTCG